TTTTTATCTTCAAGTTCCCATCTGATTGTAAACCTCGATTGAAATCGAATTTTACCGTGAAAGTCATCTTAAAAGACTGAGTTTTTTCTTACTTCACAAGAGTCATGACAAATTCCTCTTCTAGCTTCAAAACTCTCTTTGGTCCTGGTTTCTTTTTATCTGATGTTTGATATGCCATAGTTTTCCCTTTATTTCTATCCCAGTATTTCAATTTTTCTGCTTCTGGCCTTAGTAACTCGGAACGCATTTGCAGACAACTTAGAGAAGGAACACCAGTACAGAACCTTACTGATTCATCGCTTTTTAAAACGTCTTCCATGAACAATTCCCTCTTAGTAGTGGGTTTGTCTTGCAGCTTTTGCCGCATTTCTTTGTACTCTTGATGTAACCGAATTAACTCCTCTTGGCCGTCTTCCCACTGTTGGGCATCTAGTAATCGGTTTGTGTTCCAGTCGAACTTCTATTCTTTGCAAGTGTGCCCTCAGAAACATGATCACTACTTGGCGTTTTTCTGTAGGCATGATCGTTGTGTATGAAAGCAATAACAGCTGTGCTTGTGTTTGCTGCACTCTGAGCTTTCGCCTTTCTCATTGTTTTGACATGGGACTCTTTCGGTAAAGATCGTTCTTCTGCACGTTTTTCGTAGCGTTCATTTCTCGATGTTTCAGGTTTGTTGTAGATTCGAAATATTGCTGGTATGGCATAATCGTTGAGAGTACGTCTACCAAACAGTGTTTTCCAATAGGAATCATCTTTTAAGTGCTCATTACAGATCCTTAAGTTGTTTTCCTTGTCAGCTGTTGCTTTTCATTGCTCTTCTTTGAACTTGCTATCACCTCTACAACAGAATTTCAACCAAATAGAAAGTCGTTTGTCTTCAGGAAATCGAAAGAAAGACAGGTCTGCCCGGTTCCAAAAGCTACGGAGCAGTAAACCATATTTAGTCAGTCTAAATTTTTTAAAACTTGCTGAGATTCTAAATAGTATTTATATTTTGCTACGCGAGCACCTAGCCTTGCTCCAATGCAGAAATTTGGTACCAATTTCCAGGACACTCAACAACTCGGAAAGGGGCTATTTAATTATCAATTGAAACTGTCCGTTTAATGTAGACAACTGCCCATACGAACAGCATTAAAGGAAAGTTAGTTTTACAGCTTGCCAGCAAGTTGTTGCTAGTATGTACTAACCCAAGAGTCTTTAAAGTAGCCCAAACAAATTTTTGATGAGCAGTATTGATTACAGTTCTTCTGCTTTTTGAATTTCTCCAAAAAAAGATTGCCCTTTGAGCAAGTTAAGAATAGGATTCACTAACCCGAATGTAAAATCCACTAGCCCCAGGCTATTGGACATGGCTTTCTTTACACGCTGAAAAATGCCCCCCCAAAATTAGAGTGCCATCTATAGGGCTTCGTGTAGAAAGGTAATTTTTTAGTATTTTAGAAAAGATGGCTGCTTTCAGGAGATTCACACATGGAGATTTGACTACAATATGTAATCATTTTGCATGGATTTATCATGGCCTTTTGCCAAGTCTGACATTTTTCTCATGCTCATTTATCCAAGAAAAAAGCCCCTTTAAATCCGGCAAATGGAGGTAGATTCTTGGACAGTCTGGAAGGGAACCATTGCTTCCCAGGTTGGCTGTTTATCAAATAAATTCTGTTCATGAAGTGTTTGAACGACTTTCTTCAAATTCTGCCTGACAGATTTCTTGGAAAGTTCACCTGAGATCTTCTTCACTTTCAACCTAGGTCCAGATGTTCCAAAAATGCCTTGATGACGAAAAATGCCCTACAAATTCTACAAATACTACTTTCACTGATATTAGCCCCCAGACCTCTAATCATATCTTTGATCAAATGATTGTCATGTTCCAATGCTAGATCCATGGCAACATTAACTGTTCTGCTGCATTTGATCCTTTCTGCTTCTCTAGGAATGAACAAGGCATACATTTGAAACACGTAAGCCCCCAAAGCATACTTGATGCTGCCACTGCCATCTTGCTTGAAATATAAGAGGAACATCTTGATGCATCTCATTATCCTTTCACCATCACCCTCTTCTAAGGCATCCATGAAGTTCCGTAACAGTAAAGTGATGTTGATGAAACCACAGTGATAGTCAAAAATGTCATTTTTGGGTTTAGGATTTCGACCAGCGGGATTAGTCACAGTATTAATGAGTACTGGTTTCTCGGGAATGATGGGTAGGGGGTTATGAGACAGTTCATGCCTCATTATGTGGACTTCATCATGTTTAATGAGCTTGAACAACCTGGGAATCTAAAACGGTACCTGTCATTTGGAGGTATAGGCTGATTAGTTTGGGCTGTTTCCCTTTCCTGTAGTGCTTGAATATTATTGAAGTGATTTCCATACAGAGCTCCATCAACTACATAGGTTCGAATGAATTCTTTGACCACTCTATAAAAATAATGTTGGCGAACCACCTTGAGTCCTGTTGCTAATTCTCGGCTGAAAGTGTGCTTCATGGGTGTGTTTTCTGTTGTTTCCTTGCCAAAGAACAGATGGGCTGCAGCAATGATACTGGCATCGTAGCCCAACTTAACAAATCTCTTACACGGAGCAGGTTTTTGTTGGGTATCACTGACCACATTGGGCCAGTTCAATGCAAACAGCGACGTCTCGTCAGATGCTAAGGAACCACTGTAGTATCTAAAAAAGATAACTGGATAAAAGAAAAAGAAATGTTTTCAAGGGTGGTGACATAGGAGCACCACGTTCCTTGATGTAGACAACCGTGAAAACCAAGAAAGAATTCAGTTCTGTACTGAAAAGAATGCAGACATTCAGAAAGTGTTGTCTAGTCGTTTACCTCAAGTGAAGCTGGTTTCAAAAATCCTAAGAACCTAGAACCGAGATCAAGCTGAACAGGTTCTTATATTTCAGGGTACTTTTTGACAAATCAGGGTGGTTAGGTTCTCAATTTTCCAGAGTTTGTCGTAGCATAGTCATTCACAGAAATCTTACACTACTAGTACATAATGGCTTGGAACTAGTTTAAATAACAAACATATGCTTGCAAAGCTCAATAATAATAGTCAGAATGGCCCCCTAGAAAGTCATAATTCCTGATTAGTATTCATTGTTACTTATTACTTTGTTTGAGATATTTTTTCAAACGCTTATCACAAATATTAGTTCATGTTCACCAATCAATAGGTTGGGCACCTTGGAGCTCTTTAGGAATGCATAATAAACGTAAAATGTTCCTCTAAGTTACCGTGAAAGAGGATCACAATTTAGTATTCACCATCAGTTTATCAGAGTATGCCAGGTCTCTTTTATCATTCCTCTAAGATAGCATTAACATTTGAAAACTGACACTAAAGGGATTTGCTGAAATATAACTTTGAAACACGACAATGGTCTAGATATGGATCTGACAGTTTACAACAGTTCTTGGCTTTCTTAACCAGATTTTAGTGAGACACCTCAAAGATGTAATCACAACATACAAGAAGATGGTTACCTGTCAGGCCCTATAAGCTGAAGAAAACCGCTTAACCTGGAAATGTCTGCTTCAAAGAAAGCATGCAACAATAGAAAGGAATGACCACACTAACTTTGCCACAATGATGGAGGAGAAGTCCACTGGCAAGCAGCACAGCCACCAGAGACTATATGGGTTTGATGAAAAGCATTGTGCAAAGAGTTTACAATAAGATACAATTGGTTAACCTACAATAAGCAAGATCTAGCCACAGAATTGATTGAACTTCTGAAAAACAATAACAGTCTAACTGCTATGCCCCACCCACATTATCTGTACAATCTGAGTGCTCATGCATAAACATGAGAAACCTAAAGGTGCCTTAAAACATAATTTTTGCATTTTACAGATTTCATGTTATCTAGTCACAAAGTATTTTATCTATTTCACTCTCTAAAGGTCCATTAAAAGAGGCAAACGCTTGATCATTTAACACTAAAGCTTTGTGATCAACTTTAGCTTCAACAGTAAAACTGTTTTTTTAGGGGTAATTTTGGACGAACATCTGTCATAACAAAAACGCACATTGCTTACCTAGCTTCTAAAGTTTCCAGGCCTTTAGGTGTTATCTCCAAGTCAAGCTTTTACCTTTACAAATCTACTTTACATACACTCAATTTCTCCCTTGTCTACCCCTAATTGCAATGTTGTGCAACTGTCAGGGGATCGACCCATCATACTTGCACTGCTGCAAAAACGAGCTATGACAATCATCACCACATCTTTTTATGATGCTCATACAGACCCAATATTTAAGAATATTTGTATTTTACCGCTTAATGATATGTATCTAACAGAAATAGGTAAAATAATGTTTCAATATAAAACTGTGTTGTTACCAGATATATTTAATAACACTTTTATACGAAGGAATCAGGTTCATAGTCATGATACCAGGAATGCCAGAAACACTTTTACCGGCAAAGCAGTAAAATCAGTAAAATGTCAAGTTCAGTGTACAGGGTTGAGCTCTCGCCATGTGAGGATTTTCTTCTTTATGCTCCTTAATAATGTTGATGATTGTGTTATATCTTGTGACTATTTCTGTTTTTCCAGGAGCAAGGAGAGTTAATTTAAACTCTGTTTCTCCTCGCCAATGTTCCAAATCCCGAAGGCCATAATTATCATGATTTTGTTGCACGGCCTCTTAAGAAGTGTGTATTTGTAATCCCACCATCTGTAGCCTGCAGAGCAGGCGTTTTTTAACGAAAACTCGGAGGTACATGGATCGTGGCCGCCATCTTGAAAAGCAACGAAGAGGGAGGGGAGGGGCGGTGGAAGGGGGGAGGGGCGGGGAGGAGAGAGGAGAAAACGTCTGCCAGCAAAGCCTATGAAATTAACGAACGCCCCCTAATTAGTCGCGCCTGACTACTTTTCCGGAAATGCAAACACAGCCAATGAAAATCGATTTCACTTCTTTTCCGGTAGCCTCAAATTACTTCCGACAATAACATTGGCACGTGTTTGGAACACGCCTGCTTTGCAGGCTAGGAACGGTACTTTACCGGGCATTGATAACTCTAGGGAAATCTAGTGAGCGATGTAAGCGTAAAAATTATGTCGGAAACGCGTCCTAGCAACAGCTGTAGGATTTGTAAATCCTCTTTTAAAGTGAAGTTTGGGAACATCAGCGGTAAACAATTTTACTCATCATCACAAAATCTTTTCAAACCGTCACAGCGCAAAGATTCCTTTGGAATTGTGCTTGCGGACGTTTGCAAACAAGTGGGATTGGTTTTGCTGGAAGCTTCACAAGAATATTCTGATCGTGCATGCAACTCCTGTGCGCGAAAAATTCTAACTCTGGGTAATTTGTTTGAGATCGTAAAAACCGCAACGCTTCCAACTGCATCTGGTATTAAACGTTTGCTTGCAACTCCTGAGAAGGCGAGTCCATTGTGGAGAAAAGCGAAGCAAGTGCGGGTTAATTCACCTGAAGTCGAAACGTCATCTCGGATAAGACAACCCAAGAAATCGCGCAAGTCGCTGGCATTTACTGGAGAAAGTGGTTCAATGTTGACGCTGCCTGAAAAAGAAGAGGAAATGTTGAGGAGACTTAACGTGGATGACTTGCCGCAGACAGGACTTCAGGTAAAAGTTGTTTACCTAAATCCTTCAGGGAATGTTATTGTAAGAATTCCGCAAGACCAGCCAACCAAAACACTGGTGAAAAACCTGGCATGTGAAAACTGGCGTGAAGTGTCTAATGCGACATTACAACACACTGAACTTGTTCCTGAATTAAGAACCAGCATCCGCAAAGTTTTATCCAAGGAATTCAGTGAATATCTGAAGTCTGAAACAATGCTATGCGCAAGAAACCCAGACGAAATAGCCGGTTTTTCGAACAAATTGTTCATGGAAGAGGTGCGAATTTTCTGCCCTCTATGGTATAATTGCGTTATCGGGGCAAGTGGTGTCTTGACCCAGGTAGATGTGAACTCTGTTGCTAAAGATCACAATTCACTTGCCCTTGCCACCACTATCCTGGCTCATGTTAGGAATTCTCAAGCGTCGGCCGTCCACTATAGGATCTCCACTATATTATTCCATAGCGGCGTAAAACATGATGACCTCAATCGCCTCAATCGTTTGGGTGTGTGCATGTCTCTAGACTCCATTATTCGTCTTCAAAGCAAGATGAATGCACAGCTGGAAGGCAAAGTGAAGATCTGGAAGGCTACAGTTGAAGAGAATTGTGGCACTCTCAAGTTAGCCCACGAGGTGGTCCAGAAACAAGTTTCCTTGCCACTGAATGTCAGTCAACAGTGCCTGGAGACATACGACTTTTTTTCGTCAAAAGGTTACGAGTATTTGATAAAGCTATTGGATGAGGAGAAAGCAAAAAAGAGTGTTGAAACATACACTAGAGCTCGTGTTCATTCAGTCATCAGAAGATTGGAGAGTACCAAACTTCCCTTGCACAAGTGAGTATATATTTTTTCTTTAACTGAGAAATGTTTTATTTTAGTTGGTTTTCAAGATATGTTCTTGAATTAAACAGACCCTGGTTATTGCTTTTCCCTTTTTCAGACGTATAGAATCTCACAGATAATACAACATTTTTATAAACAAATAAATGGAAGCACTTTAGCTTTGTCAATTAAGTCATACGTCCTCATTGGTTCATTTTATCGTACTAGTTTTCTTTAATGTTTTGAATTTGGAAATTCCTACTGTGTGTTTTTACTTTGTTCTCCAAATAAAAAAGATTGGTGGGGGACAACATAGATTATGAAATCCATGCCAGAGTTCAGTCCCAAAAGCACCATAATCGCTCCATCCACTGGACACACCAGTTTGCTGTTCTAGACCAGGTTCAAGATCCTCAACTTGAAAGCCACTGTAGCCAAAAGTCTGTCAATGAGATCCAGTTTGCAGAACTCCTGCCTGATAAAGATGTCATGGAAAACCTTCTCAAGAATTGGGCTGTCATTGTCAGTCGAGTGATAACAAAGTATTTACCACCTCTCCAATCATTTAGAGATGCTGTAGTGAGACACATACCACATGAATACTCCAAGGAGATGTCTCAGAAATCCAACTCTGTGGGTAGAATTACATGTTATATATAGTAATGATAACAACACCTTTCATGCCAATGAAGACTTATATTAGATTCTGAATTGTGATTACTTAATAGTTATTATAAATTACAAATTATTTTAAAGAGGAGTGAGAGTGGGGTGTTCCATAATCCACTGTATATACCAGTCCATCTTATTATTTTCAAAATGTTGGCAATGTTACTCTTTTTTTTAAGTTTAAGTAGCCCTCCATCCCCAAAACATATGCGAAATCACAGAAATGTTTTAAACTGCATGAATGTTCATCAATAAAAAAGAATAACTCTATTTGCTATCATTTTGGATTATAACTGGTTGTATACTTTTCAACTTTTTAGTGCTTCCTTAGTATGCAGTTTCTCAATCCCAATGTTTCTGGGGAGATGGCCCAACTCCTACAGCACAATCAAGAGAAGTATGTGCCTTGCTTGTCTAATGGGAACAACAAGACCATTCTTGAACAGGTTTCTCTCCATGGTGACCAGTTATTGAAGAACGGGCCAGGAATGTTATCTGGACGTATAGGGATGGCGTAAACGAATATGAATGGCTTCAAGGCATGGACACAGAGTTTGCAGACTGGCATGCTAAATACACTTTATACAAGGTAACTATAGCATGGTTAGTCTGCAACTGTCTGCAGCAAATCTAAATTTATGAAAGTGGTTGTCTATGTCAAAGGCAGTATAAATTGCCATTCACTGTGTTAATTACAATGCATTTTGGCCAAGACATTGCCAGAAAGACTCATAGTTCAAACAAAACAGATAAGAAGGAGTTTCCCTGTACTCCTCCCCACCCCCAAATATGTATGTCTCTCTCTCTCTCTCTCTCTTTTTTCCAATTTTGCTCTTAAAACAGACAGAATTCAAGATGTTTGTAAATCACTCTTCTGCTGCTGAAGTTGGCACTACCAGAGCCAGCATCAACAGGACTGGAAAGACAAATGCAGCAAAAGGGGTCGAGAATCATTACAGTGAATATAGTGAATTTCATGCCAGGGAGGTCGAGGCCCATATATGTGCATCATTTATGGAGATGACAGAAATGAAGAAAATCCGTGGTAAGAACACTTTTAACTGGGTTGTTGTTACTTTTTGACCAAATGGAACCACTTTACTGCCAGCATATGAAGAAATTTTGAATTTTCTACTTAACGAGTAAGCAGAGGGAAAATGGTTGATCATTATTTTGATACAATACTTTTATTTATTTTCACCCTTAAGTATTAATGTGCTCGCAATACCATGGGTAGACAATAATGTATAATGACGTAATTCCAAATAATAAATTAATAATAATAATAATAATAATATTATAGTTGTGATGATGATAACAGTAATATACAACATGCACAATTTCTAATTGACTTTACAGTAAAGTTCAGGCAGCACTCTCCAAATTCTAAGACAATAGTAAGGTTACTATAATAGATTTTTTTTCTTTGCATAGATAAGCCAAGGTTACCAATGCCAGATAAATCTGTGTCCAAGCAAACTAGAGACAAGTGGTTATTGGAAGTTTGTGAAGAATATGTCCAGAAGTTTGTCCTCAACAAAGATGAGTTGATATCATTGGTTGGTCAGACCACAGAGCTAGAGTCAGTTAACCTACAGTCTAGGTGGACACGCTGTGTAGATGATTGCAATGCGAGTTATGCTTATCACTCTGGGCGTGTAAGGTACATACTGTTCGGTAATTGCTTGAGAATTCAGTCATTGTGGGTCTTCTGCTAAACAAATGTGTTATCTTAGTGTATATCAAAACTACCAATTATCATCAATAATATAATTATGTGAACTATGAATTTGAACTCCACAGGCATGAAGTTGAGGTACACAATTTATCTTTTGATGATGGCCCTGACGACAGAGATCATTATGGATACTACTGTTGTAGGATGCATTGTCGGCTGGTGTTCAAGACCAAGGCTACAAGAAAAAGGTGCGATTCATTTTATTTTTGACATCATAACTACCACAACTACCAAGGGTCGCTTTTAATATGTAAGAAAAAGAAGCGTGAAAGTATTAGTTCCTATTAAAGAATGAGAAATTTACTGACCACCCCCTTCCCCCAATACTTCTAAAAACCCAAAAGGTAGACAAGGAGTAATGTTAATGACAAGATCATTATTATTGCTTGTTGTGATGGAGGTCTTCAAAGAAAAATATAACGTAATGAAGACAAAAAGTCTTCCACATACTTGAGTCCTGTTGGCCATTTTAACCCTTTCATCACTACGCGCCGGTTTTCCGGCGCAAACAAAAAGTGTCCGTAACGCTACGCGCCGGAAATCCGGCAAAATAAACATGGCGGAAATATTAGAATGCAAATTAGCCATCTATGCCAAGAAGGGGGTTTAGCTATTTCAATTGGGTTGCCAATTAAATTTCCCAGAATTCTAGCGAAGAAAAACGGCATGGTTTCACCCAAAGTTTTGAAGTTGTTCGACGCTGCACTCTTTCGATTCTTTCGCAGCCATTTTTAAATGTCTTCGAGCGAAGAGGAGTCAGACTCATCGATCGATGAGTCTGACTTTGATGAAGATTTTTCTGACGACAGTGAAGCGGTTTATCAAGCAATATTTGGATCAGAAGATTCCGATGAAGAGGAAGAATTCAAAGGGTTTCCGTTGCAGTTACCTGCAAATATGACCTGGACAAGCACTCAATTTGAGCAAGAAATCGATCCGTTTTCATTGCAGTGTGGTCCTACGCCTAACGCCCCACAACAACGGTCCGCATTAGAGTACTTTCAGCTTTTTTTTGACAATGAAATCATCGAGCAGATCGCTGAATTTACAAACAGGAATGCTGCTAAAAAGGAAGCCGCGGGTTGGAAACAAACAACACCATCTGAGATCAAGGCATTTATCGCGATGATGATAATTTCAAACGACATACTTGTTGTTCCCAGAGATGAGAGGTACTTTTTCTCCAGTGGGGCAAAGAGCGTGTTTCATACACCCGGAGTGAGAAACATCTTTCCATCCCGTAAACGGTATTTTCAACTAAAGAAGTACATTTTCTTTGTGGATCCTGAACACGAAAGAACGGAAGATGAAACACGAGATGTACTTTATAAGATCCGTACTCTTACTACGAAGATACGTGAAAAATGTTTCTCCTTGTACAACTGTCATGAGAGCATTTCTGTGGATGAAGGAATGGTGCCTTTCAAGGGGCGATTGAAAATAAAAGTTAGAATGCCTGATAAACCTGTCAAATATGGCATCAAATTGTTCATGTTGTGTGACAGTACCAATGGATATTGTAAACAGTTTGATGTGTATGTTGGCAATGATGAGAGGAATGTTGGAAACATTGGAAAGACTGGCAAAGCTGTTTTGAACGTATTGCGTGGCTTAGAGCAGTCACATCACCATGTTTACATGGATAACTTTTACACCAGTCCTATTCTTTTTCTTGCAATGAAAAACATGGGTTTATACGCTTGTGGTACTGCAAGAAATCGCAAAGGCTATCCAATGAATGAGCTGAAAGCAATGCCCACAAGAGAGAGAGGCAAAATTGCTTGGCTTGGCTGGAACAACACTATGTTGGCAGTTAAGTGGAAAGACAGAAAGGAGATCTATACATTGAGCACGTTACATTCTCCTCCAGTTCAACAGCCAGCTGTAGGAGTGAATGACGACATGAATAGTGAAGATGATGAAGACAACATTGGTGATGGTGGCATCGTCAACAGGAGGGTAAGACAGGGTGGACAGTGGAGGCAGGTGAGAATAAGGTGTCCTCAGCTTGTTAAAGATTACAACAAGTTCATGGGAGGAGTTGATTTACATGACCAAATGACTTGTGTCAGCAAATCAAAGAGGCAAATGAGGTGGTACATGAGGATGTTCATAAAGCTTATTCTAATGTGCGTCTACAATGCCTTTGTTATTGAGGGACATTACCAGCCACATCAAATTCCAGGCCGTAGAAAGAGAGATCTTCTTAGTTTCAAGGATGAACTGTGCATTCAGCTAATTGGAGATTTCCCAACAACCCATGCAAACAGCAACAAACGACGACGAAGCTCTAATGACTATCCACAGAGAATGTTTGGAGTTGGAGAACACATTGTGTGTCGTGGCACTGGTAATGATCATCGGTGCGCTGTTTGTTTAAAGAAACAACAGGAATTTCTGAGAAGAAACAGAGGAGTAAGTAAGAAAGACTGTCCATTTAAAGATAGGAAGACTACTTTCAAGTGTTTGAAGTGCAATGTTTATCTATGCATTGGAAAGGAGGGCTCCAACTGTTTTTATGACTATCATTCAAAGTTGGAATACTGGCTGTAGAGTTACATTTGGCTAAGCTTGAAGGAACTGTTAATCCAAAAACACAAAATGGACATCACTGTTGTCAATAGGTTTTTATCTCTAGAAGTTTTAGCTAAGGGTGATGCACATAGTAAAAACTTTTTCAAATACATTTTCAAATTGCATTTCATCTCACAACAGTATGCGGAATATGGTTTTATGATGCTCATGTTGACACAAGAGGTTCGTTTTCACTGCTTTCATTGAATTCTTGTTTCTGTTAAGGACCCTTGCATTGGACAATACATAGAAGTTCCCAAGGGGCAAAATTATACTGTTTTATTGTATTCAACTTTCTTGTGCCTGCAAAAGAAAACTGTAGGTTTGAAATCCATAAAATTAAACAACTTTGAAATTCTATAATTAAGTCAGTATTGTCCTAAATAGACTGCAAGTTGCCTTAAATGAAAGAAAATTTCCTGACAATTAAAATGATATATGGTTTGCTTTATACCAAAATGCTTCCTTCAATGTGAAAAACGCAATTTTTTCAATCATGTCCGTTTTAAGGCACAAGCGCAAAAGTTGCTGGTGTCCTGGACACTTCTTCTTCAGAATAGCTGGTGGTGAACGGGTTAAGTTTAGGATGATACTTTTTTGGCAGTGGATAATAGCGACATGTCTATGACATCCCTACACCCTATCCATGCTTTTTTCAAAGCCAATCCTATAAATTGAAGGATGCTAAATTATGTGAATAAAGAAACTAATACCATGAATACTTGTTTGCACCAACAGACATGAAGAACGAAAAACATGGAGAAACCCTTCCAGATGACAGCACCCCACAAGAAAAAAGACAGGAAGACTACAAGTTTAATTATCACAGTGCCAAGCTCACATTTGGATTAGTGTTGCTTGAATTTAATGATGCCATCAAAGAGGGTGATGGTGCCAGGCTTTTTGAGTTGTACAAACTAGCTTTACTTCTCTACAAGACCTATGGTCATTACAAGTATGCGTATGCAGTCCTTTTGTATTTGGTCAAGTGCACTGCAATCCTTCCACCATCTCAGGCATTAAGGTTGAAGTGGAACAGGTTTTTTAATGGTAGTGGCCTTCCCGGACGAAATATTCCACTATAGAGATATTTCTTACCAGTAGAACATGCTTGGTTACAGTGGGAGATAATACATTAGTGAACTTAAGCACCAGACGTTCTTGATTCACGAATGGCATGGCTGCCCGTGCAGAACTGGACTGGGAATGCGGTTTATGCGCCTGATGCAAATCATTACATTGGTGTAAGCAAACCAACGTGAAACCATCACGAATGTGGACAAAATAATTCATTTGAAAATGTCTTTCAAAGATTTGCGTGAAGTTTTGTTTCTTTCTTATGAAGAAAACATGATTTCGGAGGAAGAATTTATACTTGTGTATGACAAATTCTCTTCGAAGAACCAAGAATTTGAACCTCTGGTTTTAACCTGTGAACTCGTGTTTTGAAGTCTGTGACAGCAGCACAAGAATGTCTTGACATGCACAGTGGCTGTCATGCTGCAAAATTACTTCTGCCTGTCAATATTTCTTTCACCCGCACCAACAACTGAAAGATGAGGCTTTTTCCAAAGCCTGTTGGAAGAACTGCTAATAAATCTTGCCTCGACAACAGCGTCGTGACCGCTTGCTTTTGTTCCGATTGCAATTTAAGTGATATTCCCAGTCCAGCGAGCGCCGAAAGAGCTTTCTCCAGGGCAGAATCGAAGTCTTCCAAATCCGCCATGTTTTAAAATTTCGGATGAATCAGACTAAAATTTGTAAATCACGATGGCCTCTGGTAAAAAATGTGTCCCCTCGATTGGCAGCTAGCAATCAAGCATCCGAAACCGCACCAATCAGAGTCCCCGTCGATCTGGTGTACGGGTTTGCCAAACGAACAATGGCTGCGGGCAGGCGTATTTTTTCCTCCCCTCCCCTCCCCCTCCCCTATTTTAAACCCATCTACCTCTCCCTTAAAAACACTTTTTGACTCGTCCCAACTCTCTGGTAGTATTAACGTCCAAGATGGCGGGACAACATCATTCCTGAAAACAACTCATGGATCCCGCCCCAAAATACGCCTGCTTTGCAGGCTACACCATCTGAAGAGCAGGAAAAGAAAAAAGCATAGGCGCCGAACTGCCTGCCAAAAGAAAGGTATCACCTGGGCCACCCTCCACACATAAAAGACCAAGGAAGAAGGAGAACAATGAAAACAGCAACACGAAAGGGAAGCCTAAGAAAGGAAAAAGTAAGCGGTCACATCACCAAGAGGAGCAGTGTCCAGTCTGCCAAAAAGAAATGTATGACATCCACAGACATCTGGGACAACATGCCCAGAATGGTCACATTGCAAGTGTTGAAAAAAAGAAAGGGAGGAGATCTGCATTACGCCACATCAGTCAACAGAATCAAGAAAGGACCAAGAGTACGAGTGGTGCACTTAAGAGGGCTGTCAAGTGGTCACTCACTTGATAAGGTGCAAGTTAGAAAATTTTCATAGAGTTGGATAAGGGATCTTGCTAGACACCTACACACCTGTGGCCAAAGAATACCGCAGAGTGTTGGAAACTGATGATCTTAAGTCCATAATTGTGAATCCTTCAGAAGAAGTTTCTGATGGGCCTTTCACGTCAACAGAGACCCGTCCATCCGTAACAAGTACATCAGAAAGTGCAGACAACAATCTGGTTGTACCTCTTTCACCCACATGCAATGTACCATCAGGAAAAACATCAAGAAGACGAGTTTGCCTCACAAGAAGATCATTTCACCTGTCCAACACCAGCAACCAATAGTCAGAAATGGCTTACAGCCTTCTACAGCCACCTCAGCCTCCCTGATTCTAGCCGTAAAAGGATCAAAACCATCAACAACACGCATCCCACAGAAGAACGATACTGGAAGATCCAAATCCATGTGCATTGAAATCGAGGTATTACCAACTGACAAGAGATACATTCTATTGACGGACTGGGCAGACATTAAGGTAAATGTTCAAAAAACAGGTACCATCAGGGCCCACCAGGAACATGAAAGTTTCCTAACCATTGTTAATGAAAAATGCATATGATCTGCACTCCTCGCAATATCAAATTATGCCAAGAGAGTTTTTCGCAATGTAATACAACAGCCTAAAGGTTGGAGAAATATCGTTGATATTGATCAGTGCCCACAATGAACACAGCATATCCTCGATGAATGTGACAACCGTTTGACTGATGGAGATATCAAACCGTTTTATTCAGAGCATGGTCAGAATACCCACAGGCTATTTCAGATGTCCTCAGAGCGGTCTTTTGTGAGTGAATGCGAGATTTTAGAGAAAAAGGATTATCTGCTCACTGTCCCTTAGAGCACTGATTACTTCAAGATTACCACACCATGTGCAGAAATAAAACGTGGTCACTACGTAATTCTAGTGCCAAGAAGAGACAGATTGATGGTCCAGCAATGCTTGTTCTTAATAAAATCTTTGAAAATCTGTTAGCTGTAATATATCAAGCATGGGGCGCAGTGTTTCATCCACAGATGAAACACTGAGTAGAGGGTTGAAAATATGATGTACAGCAAAGTTTTTTTTGACGAACTTCGAGGTGTTTCATCTGGTAAGGAAACACTTTGTTGAATGCTTGATACTGCTTCTCAAAGATGGAGAAATTTAGTATGCAAAAATGAGCAGTTTTTCATGATTTCTAAACACTCATTAAACATTAATTTCGTCTGTATTTTCTTATGAATTGTTAATGAGTTTGAGAAATCTATGTGAAAACAAAACAACAGCAAAACTTTCACAGGGTGAAAAATTGCTAAACAGCTTCCTGACCTTTGGAGGAAAACAAGTATTTTCCAGATTTATGCATAACCATCACTAACATTAGGATTGGATTGGATTGTTACTGTCTGTTACCAGGAGAAGTGTGATGGCGCTCATCGGAGAAACTGTTGCACAAAGATCCTAGTGACAATGAACCAAGGTGGTGGCTTGGTGAGACCCTCTGAAAGGCTTTAGGTACCACCTATCAAGTCTCAGAGCAACACTCTCACTGTCCGACGGATACTTGAGGGGGGAACCAGAAAACCAATTGATCATCCCTTTGTTATTACATGAAAAGTGACAACACTTTTCAAATACACCCCAGAAGAGGGCGTAACAATCCTTGCATTTGTTCGCAGCAGTCATTATAAAGTCAGTGGCAATGTATCTTGGTGTCAGGCAGAAAAGCTTCAGGTAACTAAATCATGCAACATTTGTATTCTTTCTAAGTTGTTCTGATCAATTAAAATGTCTTATGGAAGATTGCATTAGGCCGTATCTGGCACTCCATGAGGTCTCCATACTTAAAAGTATTGGTTCCACGTTGGTAGAGACAGTGTGAAATGATGCCCAGGATGATCTGGCGAGAGACTTCCCCGGCGCAACCTTTGAGAAGAAGAGGAGGTGGTAGTGGAAAGCACCGCTGATGATGATGATAATAAGGAGGTGGTGGAAAGCACCAAAGATGGTGAGAAGGAGGAGGAAGAAGAAGACATAGAAAGAACTGGGGAAGGGGAGGAGGTGAAAGGTACTGATGAACAGGGAAAGGAAGTGATAGAAATAACTGAAGAGAAGGAAGATGAGGTGGTGAAAAGCATTGACAGAGGATGTGGAGGTGAAAGGTATTAAACAACAAGATGTAAACGAGGATGAAGAGGTAAAAAGCCGAAGCAATAATGAAGACTTACAATTTCCACTTAAATGCTCACCATCTGAAATCGATGAAGATTGAAAAGTTAATTAAATAAACTGCTTTAAAACTGTTAATTGATATAAATAAACTGTTAACATTTGTCATATGCGAATTGTTTGTTCTTTTTCTTTCAAGATCTCAACATTTTCAGTCCAATTTCACCAGTCACAAACCTGTATTCTATGCAATAAAAGACTCAAATAATTTCGAAGGCCTTCAAACCAATCTAAAACATTGCCAGAAACCACTGCCAGGTCCAGTTTGACCATTCACAAAGTTAAAAGAAGTTTTTAATTTTGACCCAAAATTTAATTTGCATCTTTTTTTTGCCCTCTCTATAACCGTTAAGCTGATAAGTCATTTCAATTCATTGACTGCAAAAATGCATGAGGAAGATGGGATGGTGAAGACATAAATGATGAAGAATCCAAAGAACCAGAAGACCAAGGGACTGTTCATTACTCAACAGACCAACTTGGCTGTGCCTGTTCTATAATTACCTCAACACCCTGATAGAAAGAGAGCAAGAAATCGTCTACAGCATGCCACACACGTGCGAAAAATATTGGAAGAAGTACATCCTAAAGGGAAAGATATAGAAGTACTGCCAGAAGATGAGGAACAGATGGTTTAGACAGAGTGGTTGGATAGGAAGCTTGAAACAATATGGTCGGGGAGTGTTCATTCCTCGTTTATTTATCTCTGGACAAAATCTATTCATAAATTTGTCACCAAACAGAGAGTGAGGACAGATGAAGTACCTTCCCTCGGCCCTGAGGCCATCACCATAGTGAAGAACATCAAGGAATTATTAATCTCAGCCTGGCGCAAAATGAGTGGCATCAACACTTGTCCACAAACAACCGAGAATATATTAAAGACCTGTGATCATAGATTGACCAATGAAGATTTGGAGGACTTTAGCTAAAGTAACACAGTCCTGGAAATAGGGGATTTGGTTAATAAAGCAGCTCATTGTTCTTCAATATCAACATGAGGAAACCATATGATCATTGCCTTCTTCTGTGCATAAAAAAAATCAGGGGAACTCGTATACAGTATGCTGAGAAAGCCTCAGCCTCGAATCAAGTAAGTAGAGTGGAAACTGGAAATTTAAACCAAAAATGATAGGCTATACCGTGCCTACCCTATACCACGCCTGGTCCCTTTTCTCAGGAGAATGCGACTGGCTTACAAAGGTTTTTGACAAGCTCAAGTACAAACATCATTTCTAGCTATAATTTTACCATACACAGGAAGACGAAATGTGAAATTTTCTTCGAAAATCATATGCCAACCCCTTTGGAAAAAGTACATAAAAGTTTGGGCTGGATGAACAGAGAACTTAAAGCCAATCTAGAAACTGCTGAACT